TATGGCTTGTGGAGTCAGCTAAACTAATAATATGATGGGATTAATTAACCATCTCCCTTATTTCAGATGATGACAATTAGGAATGCAACAACTGGCTGTCCCATAACTGCTGTTTTGCCCTAAATAACTTCATCCTGCAAGATCATCTTACAATACTTAATGGCCATCAAATCTACGAAATAATTATCTACAAGAAGTTTAAAACGATACGAACTGCTAACATAACAGCCTCATCTCCGGCCGCGCCGACTCACCTGAATGTTCACCTGCGTCCTCGCTTATGGTATCCATCCTGTGAACATCTTCAACTAAGGACACTTTGGGCACCTCGGCGGGCGGCGGCGGCGGCATGACCCTCTCCCCGGGGGTGGCTCCACCTCCTGACGAGGAAGGCACGGCACGACGGCGCTCCTCCTCCTCGCGCCGCTTGATCTCTCGGTCCAGCTCCTCGATGTCGCGCTCGGTGGGCCACCCGCGCTCGATCACGGAGCTGCCTGAGTTCGGGGAGGAGCTCGCCGAGGAGTCGCTGTCCAGGTCGTCCGTCTCGGGGTTGAAAACTTCGAAGGTGAGGAACCGCGGGACGGTCCGACGCACGATCTGCACGTTGCGGGTGCCCGTGCGCCCCGTCTTCCGGATGATCTCGACGTTCTCGCCAAGCAGCAGCGAGGACAGCTGCTGCGTGAAGCTCGTGTCGCGCTTCACTACTTGAGGCTCGTACTTCGGAATGTATTTACTTGCCTGCTGCTGCGTTTGTTGCTGCTGCTGAGGCTGTTGCTGCTGTTGTGGCTGTTGCTGTGTCTGTTGTGTCTGTGCCTGTTGTGGTGAAGAGCTCTGTAGGTTGGAGTGTGTGGAGGTAGTGGCTACAGTGGAGGTAGTTGCTTTCGTGGAAGTCACGACAGGAGGCATCTTCAGTGCTGTGGGTGGAGGTGGCCCAGCCTTGTCTTGTGAAGGGTGTGCTGATGACACTGATGGTGGTGCTGATGGCATTTCTGTAGGCACAGCAACTTTAGGGACTGGCATATGAGAGAAATATGAGCTGCTAGATGAAGACACTGTTGGTGGTGGGGTGCCTGGAGGTGTCGTCCCAGAGTGTCTTTGAACACGAGCTAGTGCTCCTCCTCCTCCACCTCTTCCTCCTCCTCCTGCTCCTGCTCCTCCTCCTCCTCTTAAACCTTCTTCTCCCTCTCCTTCTACTCCCGATCCTCCTCCTCGTCCAAACGAGGTCCGAGGAGGAACCACAGCTACAGTACGGATGGATTGAGCCTCCTGACTTCCTGTTGCAGGCACAGAATCAGCACTTGCCTCACTGACGGTGGTTGTGGTGGTGGGGGAGGTGTTTGGATTCGCTGTGCTCACAACAATGTCCTGATTTCCTTCCGAGGAGGGCGGGCTAAGCCGTCTGGTCTGCTGCTCCGGCCTGGTTGTCCCTCCCAGCACTTGGGTCCCCATCTTGGGCCCTGTTTTGCCCGTGGCCTTCGTGCCGAGATAGCGCGAGGGGGCAAAGTAGCGCCCTCCGGGACCTGGTGATTTAGGCGACTTGGGTGACTTTGGAGACTTGGGCGACTTGGGAGACTTCGGAGAGTGCTGCTTGTCGGAGCCCTCGGAGGACTCTGAAGAGACTGATCTGTTCCGCTCCTTGTCTGCCCCCGGGACGATGCCAGCCTGCCCTGGCTTAGGCACAAAGATGACTGAGACACAGCTGTCCTCAGAGTCTAGGCTAGTATCGCTTTGGAAGCTGTTCTCCTTTGAGCTGTCAGAACTTTCCTCGCGGGATGACTTCCTGTCGCCAGGTTCTCTGCCGAGGAACTTCTTCTCCATCCCGCGTGTCGCTGATTTGTCACCCCCGCCGTCGGTGCTGTCGCTCGATCGCCCCATCTGAAATATGCTTTGAGCTTTGGGTTTGATCTCGTTGTGTTTCTTGCTGCTGGATGCCTGCTGGTCGTCTTCGCCTTCCGGCAGAGGACCTGTCGATGGCTCGCCCTCCCGTCCAGCGCTTCCTTCATCAGCTGTTGGTTTTGTACCAGCTGTAACGAGGATCTCGCTCTTCCAGGACTGAAGGAGCTTCACAATCCCTGCCTTCAGAGACGAGTCCGACTTCTCTCGCTCAAAGCGGTCGAGGCTCGCTGTCCTTAGCCTCTGCTGGAGACTCTCCCTGATGTTCTGCAGCCTCTTGATCTGTGTGGCGAACAACGACTCTCTCATGGTTTCCTGCCTTTCTTCCTTGTTGCCATAAATGAGGTCCTCGTTGAGGGAGCTTTGCTTCTGAATGCTTTGTTTTAATTTTTCCTTTTCTAAAAATCTATCAATACATATATACTCATCATTTAGGGAGCTTTGTTTTATTATGCCTAACCCTTTAGGAATGCTTAAATGGTCCTTGTCATCTGTCGCAACCGGTACATTGACCACCTCGGCTGTCTTGGGAGCTTTGCTTATCTCTATAACTATTGGCATATCAATGTCATTCGCGTCACTTTCATTTATCGAAGCCTTCTGTTTCTTAAGTGTAGGTCTTTTCCTACTCACTCGAGGGCTGTCCTCCTCGCTCACCTTAGTTTCCTCCACCTTGGGTTTTTCACTGGTTACTCTAGCACTCGCGGCATCCCCTTCCACGCCCTTGGCCCCCCCGGAACACCCCCTCGCTCCCTCACTGTTAGACATCTCGTGGCTAGAGAGTGATAAACACGACGAGCTAGACTTTGAGCGTAAAACACTACCGAGGATGTCACTCACCCCCGCCCGGCCCATGTCCAATGCCTCCCTGCTAATGGACTTTTCCCGCACCGACAGCACCCCCGATGGACAGACTGGATTTCCGGGAGACCGAGGGGAAGCCTGGACAAGGTCAGTCAGGCTCTTGGACTTGGCTTTCGTGTCCGGGTCTGCCGAGGCGGCGGTCGCGTGCGGCAGGAAGGGCGCGGGCGACGGCGGGATGTCCAGCAGCGCGGGGTCCTCGGGCTCCAGATGCCGGAGCTCGATAGGCACGTCATCCAAGTTCTCCTGAGAGTCCAGGGAGCCGTCGTTGCTCACAGAAGGGCGCTGGTGGTGGTCGTCGCTGAAGGACGGCCGAGGCTCAGCCGTGCCCCCGCTCTCCATGTTGAGGGAGCGGCCATCTGACCCTCTGAAGCCCGAGAAGCTTCCCCCGTGCATGAACCACGACCTTCCTGACGATGCAGACCCTCGCCGACTGCTTGTCAGTTTCTGCCAAAATACCCATGGGATTAGCGTCGTGGGAACCGAGTAACTTTTTGATTGTAGTTAGAGGTAATTGGTCTTCTTGTTACTACTATGCCTTTTACTATGATATATTTTACAGATGTATATATTTCCATATGTCAAATGTATGTAAACATATATCACATATTTTCACTATTAATTCAATTCGTTATATAACATCACATTTAAGAGAAGAAAAGAGAATAAGTCCAAATATCAAGAGTTTAACAGAGACCATGCCAGCAGGGAAGCAACAGGACCAAGGAGAAGAAAAGATGATAATGAGAAAGACTCGACGAGTAAAGGCGCACAGCATGAGGAACAGGATGATGGTGACTAGATCAGAATTCTCTCCCGCGCGACTCGTGACTCGTGACTCGTAAAGTCCCGCTAAAGGATTCTAAAGACTCGTCCTTGACCGAAAGAAATCCTGATGTAGCCATCCATCGCGATGGTATTAGAAGAGGGAATGAGAGAAGGATGATTCGATCTGAAGTAATGATTGATGCATAACAGTGACTCATCATTCTAAAGCCATCACTTCATCATTCTCAAGTCATGATTCTCGAAAGACACATGCATGAAAGTAAGAAACTCAAAAGAAAAGAAAAAAAAGAAATCTAAAGATCCAACAAAAATAAATAGAAAATTAGCATGCACTCATCTCTTTTAAAAATGACACTATTCAAATTGAATCCTGAAATAGACACAGAGTCATAGTAATGCTGATAAAAGAAATACACCATTGAAGAAAAAAAAAACAAGAATCTCAACTATAAACCTTGAAAGAGATTGATCTTAAATCTATTAGAAGGGGGGGGGGTGGAGAAAGTTGACACAAAATCGACTATCTACGAATATGGAATCTTACGACTTCACTCTCTTTCCCCTTCTTTCTTCCCCTTTCTCATTTCAGCTTACCCGTCACCAGGGAAGGAGGTAGTCCACCATGCCTCATCTTCTCACAGAGCCCTAAATACCTCAGATCCCTCATCGTCAGTATGAGGTGTGAGGAACATAACTCAAAAAGCCTAAGACGAAGACGAAGCCTAACTGACTGAACACCAGGTTTCAGATGAGTGTATCACTTGCCTGTTTATCTTGCGGGCGCGTTCAACACTTTGCTTAATAACTTTGAACATGTACTTTGAATACATACTTTAAAACAATATCGAACACACACTTCCATGTACTTTGAACAATTTCGAACACGTACTTTGAACGTGTACAATAAGTCTTACCGCAGTCAAGGTTACACGTGTCCGAATACGCACACGTCGGCATCATTTATCAAAAGTAATTATACATGGAGGATAGGATTGATCTTTGGATTACCTAATAAAGAAAAGAATAGAATAAATAAATAAACTATCTGCAAAACTAGAGTCTCAGAAATGGTGATTTAGTTACTGGAGGTGGCGGTAGAAGATACAGTGGTGAGGATTGTGGCTCATGGTGTTGGTGTCAGTTATGGTGATGGTGATTGTTGATAATGATGTTGGTAAAAGTTATGGTAATGAAGATGTGTCATAGCGTTGCTGAAAGTTATGGTGATTGTGATAATGGTTAACAGCATTGATGGAAGCTATGGTGATGGTGATTAATAGAATCTATGTGATAGTGATTGTGGATAATGGTTTTGATAAAAGCTATGGTGGTAGTGATTGTGGGGTAACAATGCTGGTGAAAGATAGAGATAGAGGTGATGGAGATTGTGGATCATGATGTTGGTGGAAGCTATGGTAATGAAAATGTGTGTCATAGTGTTGGCGAAAGTCATGGTGATGGAGATTGCGGATAATGATGTTGATGGAAGCTATGGTGATGGTGATTATGGGCAATAGCATTGGTGAAAGTAATGGTGATGGAGATTGTGGATTATGGTGTTAATAGAAATGATGATGGAGGTGATAGTGTCTGAAGCGATGATGATCATGATGTTGGAAATGATGGTGATTGTGGTAATGGTGCTAGTGAAAGTAGTAATGGTCATGCTGTTGGCAGTGATGGTGAAAGAGACGGAAGGAATAACCGAGGTAGTAAAGACAGTGAGAGTGAAATAATGGAAATGGTGGAAATGGTGATGGTTATAGTGATGATAGAATCTATGAAATGACAGTTTTTTTTTTTTTTTTTTTTTTTTTTTTTTTTTTTTTTTTTTTTTTTGGTGGTGGTGGTGGTGATGGTGTTTCTTTGTGTGGTAGTGATAGTGGTGGTGATGCCAGATGAATATTACTATCGTGATACTTCTAGGAATGATTATAAAGAAAGATGGTTATTAAACTGATCTAGAAAATATGTTATTGATGGATCCAATTTTTACCAAAATACAGCCTATGTGAAATAATGATGACGATGATTTTAATAATCCAAATCATGATGATGGTGATTACTATTACTATTACTATTACAAATACTACTTAGATCGCTAGTTCTTCTTCTGCTACTAATAATACTATTACAGTGTTACTACTACAATAATATTACTACTACTAATAATAGTGATAATAGCATCATCAATAATGATAATGATCATGATGATAATAACAAAAATAATAATAGTGATAATAAAAATGATAATAATCATAATCATAATGATGATGATGGTGATGATGATGGTGATGATGATTGTAATAATAATAATAATAACAACAATAATAATGATGATAATATGACATTAATAATTATTATTATAATACTAATACTAATGATAGTAATAACAATAATAAGAAATAGCAATAACTATTATGATAGTAATGATAATAGTACTAATGATCATAATAACAATAATAACTATAGTATAGTAATAAATAACAATAATAATAGCAACTACAATAATAATAGCAAAAGCAATAATATTAATGATGATATTAATAACAAGGATAATAATGATAACAATATTAACAATAGAAATAATAATAATAATAGCAATTATGATAATAATGATAATGATAATAATAATAATGATAATATAATGATAATAATAATAATAATAATAATGATAATAATATAATAATAAATGTAATAATAATGATAATATATAATGATAATAATGATAATGCTAATAATATCATTATTGTCAATATTACTCTTAACATCACTATCACTGCTATTACTATCATTTTCATTATCATTATCTTTATCATAACTGTATTATCATCACTATACTCACTGTCAATAATAATGATGATAATAATAATGATAATAATAATGATAATGATAATAATAATGATAATAATGATAATGCTAATAATATCATTATTGTCAATATTACTCTTAACATCACTATCACTGCTATTACTATCATTTTCATTATCATTATCTTTATCATAACTGTATTATCATTACTGTTAGCAGCCTTCTACGAATACTACTACTATTATTAGTAATATGGATAATGATGATAAAATGAATAAATGATCATATAAAAATGTTACACCACTCACCTCCATTAATAAAATTATATTGTAATAATTCTAGAATCAAGTTTTATGACACAATTCGTGATAATTCATTTTCTTTCTTATCAACGGACGCGTATTTTTTATATCTTAAGAAATTGAAACTTCTAATGGTTCAAAATATTAATCATGATTCTTTTAATTACTTTTATCTGTTAGATCAATAATTAAAAAGTAATAATTATCAATCTTTGAATTGCAAAAGTAAACCGTACTTGATTTGGAAAATGAAGATAACAAGTTGAAAAAAATGTCGGATTTTTTGTGTTTATTAGATAAGGGATAAAATTGGGTCGTGATTAGTTATATCATAGAATTGGGTAATATAAAGGAAACATATTTCATGCAATTACCAGGATTAAAGTGATGAAATTAGACATTTACTGTACTTCTCAACGTAATTACGGTATCGACAAATAAACAAAAACATCCTCCATGATAACTAGTTTCATTACAAAAAAAAGTTAATTTACTGTTTACTGTACATTAATTACTGAGTCTTCAAACTAATTAGGATTTCAAGGAGATTTGTACTCTTAATACTCTTTCACATACATCGAAATTTCCAGCCAAGATCTAACATGCAAAGTCTATCTTTTTTTTCTATTTCTCTATAATTTCTTTCGCTCTTTTTTTCTTTACACTTGCACAAAGGAAAGTCACATCTTTAAATAACTGTCAAAAAGTCCTCATGGGAATCTAAATACTTTTTTCTCTCTCTGTCATTAACAAAAATAATTTACACCGTATCTAAGAAAAATCTTTTTGGTGCACATGTCTCTAAAAGCAATAAAGAACATGCAGTGCAGTTGCGTGTGTAGGGTACAGCAGTATCTGGTGTGTGTTTACTAAGAAAAAAAAAAGGAAAAATCTTTATCTAACAGGTCAAAAAGGGTATAAAGTCTTGAAAATGTTTTTAAAATCGTTCAAAAAGTAATATATCCCTCTAAGGTAATTATCGTAGAGGGAGAAAAAGGGGGAGGGGGGTGTTGGGTGAAGTTGAGGCCATCCGATAGGCATTCGAACGCAGGGATCACGTTCGAACGCTGGGTTGAAAATATCTTTGACCTAAAAGAAGGTTCATCTAAAATTGAGCACCAATCTGTGATGGCCACAACGCTGCCAAAAAAGGGATAAAGGTAATATACCGATAATAAAAAAGACAAAGGAGGGAGGAACGGACAAAGGTAAGAAAGAGTAACACGAGGAAAAGTGGAGTAGGAATTAAGGCAAGAACAGGAATAAGGAAGATAAATAGAAAATGAGTGTACGTTTTGTGTGTGTGTGTGTGTGTGTGTGTGTGTGTGTGTGTGTGTGTGTTGTGTGTGTGTGTGTGTGTGTGTGTGTGTGTGTGTGTGTGTGTGTGTGTGTGTGTGTGTGTGTGTGTGTGTTGTGTGTGTGTGTGTGTGTGTGTGTGTGTGTGTGTGTGTGTGTGTGTGTGTGTGTGTGTGTGTGTGTGTGTGTGTGTGTGTGTGTGTGTGTGTGTGTGTGTGTGTGTGTGTGTGTGGTGTGTGTGTGTGTGTGTGTGTGTGTGTGTGTGTGTGTGTGTGTGTGTGTGTGTGTGTGTGTGTGTGTGTGTGTGTGTGTGTGTGTGTGTGTGTGTGTGTGTGTGTGTGTGTGTGTGTGTGTGTGTGTGTGTGTGTGTGTGTGTATGTGTGTGTGTGTGTGTGTGTATGTGTGTGTGTATGTGTGTGTGTGTGTGTGTGTGTGTGTGTGTGTGTGTGTGTGTGTGTGTGTGTGTGTGTGTGTGTGTGTGTGTGTGTGTAGGTATGTGTGTATTTTCTGTGTGTGTCGTCTCTGTGTGTCTGTGTATATGATCGTATATGCATATGTATGTGCATATTTGCATAAACGTATGCATGTGCAACATATGCACATTTGAGAGTATATGTATAGGATTAGTAGATAAATATCTTTTTTTTTTTTTACAAAGAGATGTGGTAATAGTAATAATAGTAATAATAATGATAATAATAACAAACACAGGGAACAAACACAGCTCTATCGTCCTCAATCAACCTGGTTGCTAGTGTCGGAGGCTACCTGTAGTGCCCGCCGGACGAAGCTGTAGCACGACTCGTTTGGGCTACTCAGGTCCGACGAGCTCTGTGACGAGGAGGCGGCGCCCGCAGGGTCTATAGCGCGGGACCGGGTGCGCCTGCGGCCGTTGCGCCGGCTGCCACACCTGCGGGAGGGAGCGGGCTTAGAGAGTGGGCATAGGGGCCTGTTGGGGCTGAAGTCTGTGGGGGTCGATCTGTAGTGTCTGTTGGGTTATGTTTTTTCTGGGTGTTTATGTGGGTCTCTGTGAGTATTTTAGGTCTTTTGGGGGTCTCTGTAGGCATATCAGGGGTTCTGTAAGTGTACAAGGTGTCTGGTCTCTTGCTTTATTTGGGGATTTTGATGTGGAAGCAGTTTTTCTTTTTTTCTAATTCTTTTTTGGGGTTGGTGATGGTTTATAAAATTTTGATAGGAGTATATTGGACTTTGGTGTCGATGTGACTTCTGTCTAGTTGCCAGTGCTTATGTAACTATTGCATAATAATATTTACAGATATTTATGTTCGCATATTCTAACAAACAAACAAACACACTAACACACACACACACATTTTAACACAGGCACACATACACATACGTGCGCGCTGTGTATATGTGTATGTGTGTTGTCTTTATGGTTTCAGCCATTAATTTAGTTGACAATGTATGTATATATGTAAGTATGCATGTGCAAGTAAGTTTGTATATATGTCAGCGTGTGTACGTCTGCATATCTCTTATTAAAGTATGTATGTGTGAATCAAAAGACTGCTAACGGGCCGCACTGGAGCCTGAGAGCAACAGGTCGGGGGTCCCTTGACTCTACGATAATCGAGGTAATTCACTTGATCAATTAATCAGCATCAGAATTCCCCGGGTTTATTGAACAGATTTCCGAATCTCCCGAATCTCAGTCAATAGATATGGATGTCCACGTCGCTCGGGGCCTTAAGGGCGGTGTATAAAAGCGTGGCTGAACTGTTCATAAGGTTTAAGGAATCGAGAATTTAGAATAGTCTACCCCATCACTTTGACGATAAAACTAAAGAGTCAGTTACGCTACCAAACACCTCAGTCTCTGCCATTATATACAACCTGACAAGTTCCCAGCACCAGTACCACCAAACCACCTAACACTACTACAACCGTCTATTACCAGAACCACTCTACTACTAACTATTGCCATTACTACAATCCAACTACCATTGTCTATCTTCGTTATCCCGTCGTAAATAAAACTTCCCTTTCATTATTTTACTAGCTTACCTGAGTCACTAACATCACCATCACCATCCCCGCCACCATACCACCATCTTAACCATCATCGGAACACATAACCAACCCTAGCACCATCACCTTCTTACTACCAATACCTTACCTACCACAACCACCACCCTGTCACCATCATCATTCTTCTACCATTCTTCTGCCATCATCGAGCTACCACCACCACTACCCTGTCACCACCATCACCATACTACCACCAACACCCTACCATAATCTTACCACAGCTACCACCTTACCACGAAAATCACCCTCAACAACCTACAACCACCACTACCACCACCATCACCATCCACCACCACCATCACCATCCTACCATCACCATCATCACCACCACCCAACCGCCACCATCACCACCACCACCAAAAATCACGTTACCTGTGTGTGATGTCGCTGTTACGTCACGGGGCGGAGGGGTTTCCAGATATCGCTATCTGCTGAACTACACAAAGGTCAGGAATTTCGTTTTTTTTTTTTTAACAATGTATGTTCTTCATTTGGTATTTACCCTTAGTTTGTAGTTGTTTAAAGTGTGCTTGTAATTGTAATTATTGATGAGGATTAGGGTTGTGCTAATATTAGTTATTGTCATTGTTAGTATTGTTATTATAATTTTCTTTATGATGATGGATGTTATTATTAGCATGATGATAGCAATTGAATAATAATTATATCAATGATAAAGAAATGATAATAATAATGATAATAATAATAAAGATAATAATAGCAATAATGATAATACAGATAATAATAAGAATTACGATAATGATAATGATGATGACGATAATAATAATAATAATAATAATAATAATAATAATAATAATAATAATAATAATAATAATGATAATAATAATAATAACGATAATAATAATAATGATAATAATAATAATAATAATAATAATAATTAATATTATATATAATGATAATAATAATAATAACTAAAAATAAATAATAATATAATAATAATAATAATAATAATAATAATGATAATAATAATTAATAAATAATGTAATGATAATAATAATGATAATGATGATACATGATGATACAATTGATAATTGTAGTAACAATAATAATAATAATAATCAGACTGACAATAGCAATATCAATGATAATGATAATAACAATAATAAAATAATAATAATAAAAGAAATAATAACAATAATATCAATAATAATAATAATAATAACGATAAGGATAATAAGAAAAGAAAATAATGAAATAATAACACTATTAATAATGATAATAATGAAAATACTGTTACTACTACTACTAATGATAATGATAACGATGATGATGATGATGAAAATGACAATATCAATGATAATGATGATAATGACGTTATCATCATTATTATTATTGAGATTAAAATTAATAATAATGATAACAGTAATAATAACAATGAAAGTGATAGTAATGATAATAATAATAATGATAATGATAATAGTGCTATAACAATAATAAGAATAGTAATAATAATGAAAATAAAAATGATGATAATAATGATGTTGATGATGATGATGATAATAATGATAATAATAATAATAATAATAATAATAATAATAATAATAATAATAATAATAACGATAATAATAATAATGATAATAATGATAACAACAATAATGAAAGTGATAATAATAATAATGATAATAATAATAACAATAATAACAATAATAATGATAATAATAATGATAATAATAATAACAATAATGATAAGGATAATAATCATTATTATCATCATCATTATCATTATTACTTTTATCATATTATCATTATCATCAGTATTTTGACAATAATTATAATAATAATGTTAAAAATAATATTGACAATGCAACTAATAATAATGATCATAATTAGAACAGCAACTACAATAGCAGTAACTATAATAATAATGATAATGATAATAATAATGGTAATAATAATAATGATGACAATAATAATAATGATAATAATAATAATAATGATAATAATAATAACAATAGCAATAACAATAATAACGACAATAAAAGTAATAATAACAACAAAAGAACAATAATAATGACAATAATAATCTGGTAGCAACAACAACAATAATAATATCAATGATAACAAGTCATCATCAACAATGATAATGAAATACCAACAATGATAATAACAATGATAAAGATAATGATGCCAACAAGCATCATCACCCTGGGCAGGTCCGAGCGCCCTCACCTGTTGGAAGGGCAGGAATCACTATCGCTGTGGTTATGAGCGTGGTAGTGCAACACGTCATCATCGTCTGTGGTGGTAGAGTTCAGGTCCCTCTCCACACTCGAAGCCTTGTCATCACTGGAAGACTGTTCGGGACGGTGCCACGGAACCAACACGTCCTGTGACTCGAACTGGGGAGAGAGGGAGAGAGAGAGGTGAGTAAAGGGTGAGAGAGGTAAGTGAGGGGTGGTTGGTATGGGGAGGTTAGGTGTGGGGTTTAGAGGGACGTCGAGAGATGGAGGAAGGGAGTTAGGAGGGAGAGGTAGGTGAGGAGTTTAGAGGGACGTCGAGAGAGAGGGAGAGGTAGGTGAGGAGTTAATGGGGCGTCGAGAGAGAGAAGGTGAGTGAAGGGTGAGGGATGGTTGGTATGGGGAGGTTAGGTGTGGGGTTTAGAGGGACGTCGAGCGTTGGTGGGAGAGAGAGAGGAAGGTAAGAAGGGGGAATGATAGGTGAGGAGTTTGTGGGATGTCGAGCAATGGAGGAAGGGAGTTTGGAGGGAAAGGTAGGTGAGGAGTTAGTGGGGCGTCGAGAGAGAGGAAGTGAGTTAAGAAGGTGAGGTAGGGTGAGGGGAAGTAGGCGAGGAGTTAGTGGGACGTCGAGAGAGGAAGTGGGTCAGACGGGAAAGATGAGTGAGGGGAAGTAGGTGAGGGCTTAAAAGGACGTCGAAAGACAAAGGTGTCAATAAATGGGAGAGAATGGGTTTGAAGTTAGGGGAGGGTGGAATTAGGTGGATCGCAACTCCCAAGGGGATGATGGAAGGTTAGCGCGGAGATCGCAAAGCCTTGGGAAGAAAAAAAATGGAGGCCAATTTGCAAGGTGTTCGCCAGCGTTCGTATCAAGATTATACAACAAAGCCTCCAAATAATTATATATCCAGGTGAAACAAGCTTTTACAGATTGCTAAATAGTTTTCTTCCCCTCAGCCAAAAAATATGCAGTTCTGAAAATCATACATGGAATACTACACATGGAAAGGGATTATGCGTGTAAAAAGGTTTGGAACCACTGGAACAGAATGACACCGAGAGATAGGGGAGGTGTCACAATGAGAAAAAGTGAGTTAGAAGTTGGGTGGAGTGGATGGTGAGTGTCGAAAGTAGAGAAGGTGTCGATAGATGGGGAAGAGTTAATTAGAGATTGGGTGGAGTGGGTGGTGAATGTCGATAGATGGGGAAGACTGAGTTAGAGGATGCGTAGAGTGACAGTGTCGAGAGAGAAAGGCGGTGTCGACAGAGAGGAAAGCGAAGTTGGGAATGGAAAGAAGTGCTTATGGAACCCCTGATGGTGCTGAAGTTTCTAGTTAGATCTTCTTTCTTAAATTAACATAAACCCACCCATTTTTTTCTAACATTATTATAAACCCACCCATTCTTTTTTAAAATGAATATAAACCCACACATTTCTTTCTGAAATTAACATAAACCCACCAATTTCTTTCTTACATTATTATAAAACCACCCATTTCTTTCTTAAATTAATATAAACCCAACCATTTCTTTCTTAAACTAACATAAACCCACCCATTTCTTTCTTACATTAATATAAACCCACCCATTTCTTTCTTACATTATTTTAAACCCACACACTTATTTCTTACATATTAACCCACTAACTGACTAACACAAAATTATTTATAGAAAATAAGTCTTTGCAACTTCGCTCCTTCACTTATAGAATTTTCGTCATCGGTCAGTGATAGTGATACCAAATCTGGAAGTTTTGTGTTTTCTCCTTCCCTGTGTTAAATAGGTTTCCTGTTTCTGATGTGTTTGTGTTATTTATGATGTGAAAGGTTCAAGATCTGCCTTTTTTTCTTTTTCTAGTATTTTTCCTAGGACTTTCGTTAATTATTTTCAGCTGTAATTTGTTTTATTTTCATCTATAGTTCATCAGTTTCACCTGATGTTTATTATTTTCACCTAACTTTCATCATTTTCACCTGTCATTTATTAATTACTCCTGTCGTTTTTTTGTTTTTGTCGTTTTTTCACTCGCATAGCCTTTTATTCTGGTTTGTCTCCAGTTATTTGCATATCACCCATTATTCCATGTACATCCTTTTCCCTTCCAGCTACACAATTTCATATGAAAAGAAAAGAAAAAATGTAAATCATATATACCTCATATTTTTTAACACGAATTTCCAGATATGCTTCTATTCCTCATTATTTCAAATCTAAACCATCGATTCGCTAATCTGACCTTTTTCTCCCACGATTTTACTCCAATAACTATCGTAATCTGCTTCCTGTCTACTATACTTCTTTTCCCCATTATTTCAAATCTAAACCATCGATTCGCCAATCTGACCTTTTTCTCCCTCAATTTTACTCCAATAATCCGCTCTCTATCGTAATCTGCTTCCTCTCTACTATACTTCTTTTCCCCATTATTTCAAATCTAAACCATCGATTCGCTAATCTGACCTTTTTCTCCCACGATTTTACTCCAATAATCCGCTCTCTATTGTAATCCGCTTCCTGTCTACTATACTTTTTCCCATTATTTCAAATCTAAACCATCGATTCGCCAATCTGACCTTTTTCTCCCACGATTTTACTCCAATAATCCGCTCTCTATTGTAATCCGCTTCCTGTCTACTATACTTTTTCTCATTATTTCAAATCTAAACCATCGATTCGCCAATCTGACCTTTTTCTCCCACAATTTTACTCCAACAACCTGCTCTCTATCGTAATCTGCTTCCTGTCTACTATACTTCTTTTCCCCATTATTTCAAATGTAAACTATCGATTCGCTAATCTGACCTTTTCTTTTACTCCAATAATCCGCTCTCTATTGAAATCTGCTTCCTGTCTACTATACTTTTCCCCATCATTTCAAATCTAAACCATCGAATCGCCAATTTGAAATTTTCCCCACTAATCTGACCCTTTTCTCCCACAATTTTGCTCCAATAACCTGCTCTCATCGTAATCTGCTCCCTATCTCTCCTGCACGCAGCATATCACACTCTGTACTGCTGCATGAGGGACTTGCATTCGTCTCCCTTTAAGGCCACACATCATTTCACACACCTTTGTCTGTTGTTTTTTTTTCGTTTTTTTTTCTGAACTATCCTATTAAGACCAGGTATTAAATGAACACGCGAGCCTTTGTTTTACCAGCCTTTATGTGTTTCTTTTTATCTTATTTTCGTTAGGTATACTTATATATACACAAATACATACATACATATGTGTGTGTATGTCAGTGTATGTATATATATATATATATATATATATATATATATATATATATATATATATATATACATACACATACACACACACACACACACACACACACACACACACACACACACACACACACACACACACACATATATATATATATATATATATATATAATATATATATATATATATATGTGTGTGTGTGTGTGTGTGTGTGTGTGTGTGTGTGTGTGTGTGTGTGTGTGTGTGTGTACATATATATAAAAGATAGAATAATACAGTCCGCATTAATATGGATAAATAACAACCCTTCCTGACCAGGACTCGAACCTGGGCCACTCCAGGTATGACCCGGGACTGGTTGGCTTAGCACCGGTCTTCTGGGTCATACCTGGAGTGGCCCAGGTTCGAGTGTATATATATACATATATATGTGTATATATGTATATATATATATGTATATATGTATATATATATGTATGTATATATGTATATATGTATATATATATATATATATATATATATATATATATATATATGTGTGTGTGTGTGTGTGTTGTGTGTGTGTGTGTGTGTGTATGCGTGTGTGTCTATATATATATATATATATATATATATATATATATATATATATATATATATATATATATATATATATGTGTGTGTGTGTGTGTGTGTGTGTGTGTGTGTGTGTGTGTGTGTGTACATATATATATTTTTTTCTTTTTTTGACGTGTGTGTGTGTGTTAGTATATATATAATATACATTTTGTATATTTATATACATATATATATAATACATACACAGACATACACACACACACACACACACACACACACAACACACACACACACACACACACACACACACACACACATATATATATATATATATATATATTTATATATATATATATTATATATTATATATAAGATGATATACATTACACACACACACACATATATGTATATATTATATATATATATATATATATATATATATATATATATATATATATATATATATATATATATTATAATACACACACACACACACACACACACACACATATATATATATATATATATATATATATATATATATATATATATATATATATATATATATAATATATATATATATATATATATATATACATATATATATATATACATACATATATATATATATATATATAATATATATATATATAGAGAGAGAGAGAGAGAGAGAGAGAGAGAGAGAGAGAGAGAGAGAGAGAGAGAGAGAGAGAGAGAGAGAGAATATGATTCTGTGTTTAGTTGTGTGTGTGTATGTGTATACGAGAGAGAAAGTATGTATGTCTACGTTTACTTGTGCGTGCGTATGTGTATGTATATGTTTGGTTGTGAGTTTTGCATTGTGTTGGCGTGTGCGTGTGCGTGTGCGTGTCTGCGTGTGCGTGTGCGTGTTGCGTGTCTGCGTGTGCGTGTCGGCGTGTTCGTGCATGTTCGGGTGTCTCGGCGTACCCTCAAGTCAATTATGCAGTATTTCGAACCCAGCGCCCACGCCGCCTCATCCTTTCTCCGCCGCGCCCTAAACAGCATCCTAAATATAGCACTCCGAATCTCTTTACATCTTGAAACGAACTCATCACCCTAAAAGGTTAGCGAGCGGGGGGTGTGTGTGTGTTTTTTTTTTTTCTCCTGTATGGGCCATAGCATAGTTTAAACGCTCGTCGGGGGGAATGGGATAATTAAACAACTCTTTTGTGGCGTTAAACAATATCTCGTTGCTTTTTTGTTTTTTGTTTTTTTTTGGAGAGACGCCCTCTCATAGACGGCCACAGAGACAACGCGGGCAAAATCATTATTAGCCAGCTTGGGGCGAACTCCTCCCCCTCCCCCTCCCCCCTCCCCTCCCGTTGCACTCCCTCCCCTACTCTTTCCTCCTTCTCCTTCCCTCTCTTCTCCTCCTCCTCCTTCTCCCATTCTCCCTCTCTCTCTCTCTTCTTCCTTTCCTCTCCTCTTCCTTTTCCTACTCTCTCTCTCTCTCCTCCTCCTTCTCCGACTCTCTCTTTCCTTCTCCTCATCTTTCCCTTTCCTGCTCCTCCTCCTACTACTCTCTCTCTCCTCCTATTCCATCTCCCTCCCTTTCTCCTCCCATCCCTCCCCTTTTTCTTCCTCCTCCTCCTCCTCGTCCTTCTCCTTCACCTCCTCCTCCCTGTCCTTCTTCTCCTACTCCTGTTTCTTTTTTTTCTTCTTTTTCATTTTCTTCTCCATCCCCTTCACCTTCTTCTTTTTCTTCTCCTCCATCTTGTCCTTCTTATTCTTATTCTTCTCCTTCTCTTTCCCTTTCTCCTCCCATCCCCCCTCCTCTCCTCCTCTTTTAAAATCCTCCTCCTTTTCCCTCCCTTTCACCTCCCATTCCTCTTTTTCATTTTCCTACTCCTCCTCCCCGTCCTCCCCCTATTCTTCTTCTCCCTGATTCTCCTACTTCTTCTATTCTTCCTACATATTTCCTCATATTCCTCCTCCTTCTTATCTTTCTCCCCCTCCTCCTCATCATCATCCTATTCCTCGTCTTCTTTTTCTCCCTTTTACTATTCCTATTTTTCCTCCTCGTCGTCTTCCTCCCCTTACTCCTCCTCCTCCTCCTTACCCCCTTCTTCGTCTTTTTTCCTTCTCCTTTTTATCCGCCTCCTCCCCCTCTTCTTCTTCTCCTCCTTCCACCCCTTCACCCCCTCTCTTCCTTCTCTCTTCTCCTCCTCCTCCTTCGTGCCGCCTTCCTCGTCCTCTTCTTCCTCCTCCTCCTTCTTCTTTGTCTTATTCTTATTCTTCTCCTTCTCCTTGTTCTTCTTCTCCTTCTCCTCCTTCTTCCTCTTTTCCTTCTCCTCCTCCTTTCCCTCCCTCCACTCCTTCACCCCTCTCTTCCTCCCCCCCCTATCGCTCCCTCCCCCCTTCCACCCCTCCCTCTAAAGCCCTTCATACTCGCCGGCATCTTGTCCTCGCCAATTTTCCTCGCTTTATTTTCCTTCTCCTCTTTTCTCTTCCTGTTTCTTTCCGAGCATTTAGTCTTCGTCCTTCCATTCTCACTACAACGTTGTGCTGTGTTATATCACCTTTAATTCCTCCCGTTTTGGCTCCTCTATTTCAGGTTTTCTTATTAACCACTAAATCAGTTTTATTTCTGTGTTGCATTCCACGCATTTATTGAGTTGTCTTCTTCGTTTTTTTTTTCCCTTTTTATTTTATTTTTATTTTCTTTTATGCGCATTTACTGAATTGTTTTCTTCGTTTTCTTCTTTCCGTAGATTTATAAAAAAAAAAAATCACGTTTTCTTTCGACATAATTATTGAATTGTTCTTCCCGTTTTCTTTTTCTTTTCGTTTTCTTTGAACATCTTTCTTGAATTGTTCTTCCCGTTTTCTTTTTCTTTTCGTTTTCTTTGAACATCTTTCTTGAATTGTTCTTCCCGTTTTCTTTTTCTTTCAACACCTTTATTGAATAGTTTTTTTCCCGTTTTCTTTTTCTTTCAACACCTTTATTGAATAGTTCTTCCCGTTTTCTTTTTCTTTTCGTTTTCTTTCCACACATTTATGAAATTGTTACTCAGTTTCCTTCTTCCTGCCTGGCTCTTATTTTGGGATTTTTTTCGTATCCTTTGCCGTGCTTTTCTCAAAATTAGGGGAAGAAAGTGACATTTCAGTCAAAATCAGGGGAACAAAAGTAGGTGTCAGTGAAAATCAGGGAAAGAAACTTTACTTTCCTACATCATCTATCTTTTCCTCTTAACTCTTTGCTTAGTTTTCTCTCTCTCTCTGTCTGTCTCCTGCTTGATTTCCCTTACATGTAAGATCAAAATAATGTCTTCCAGTATCTTATTTATCTTTTCTTGCTCTTGTTTTTTTCTCGGATTTATTTACATATCTATCTCTTATAATCTAAGTTTATGATGATTTACGTATCTATTGTATGTTTCTTTCTGTCATCATTTTAGTCCTGTTGATCTTCTTTGTCTCATCCTCTTTCTCTTATTCATCTACCATGTTTTATTCTTCCTTTCTGCTTCTCCTTCATTTTCTTTTCTCGTCGTCTATCAAATCTTGTTTATCCATATTTCCCTGGATATATATCTCCTCTTGCCTATTTTCTGTCTTTTTTCATGTTTTCTATAATGTCTCACTCTCAGATATCTTTCCCTGTTGCCTCTATTCAATCTTTATTCCATATTTTCATTTATCTTATCTATTATTGTTTATTATATCATATATTTGAATCGTTCTTCTTCTCCTCCTCCTCCTCCTCCTCCTCCTTCTTCTGCTTCTTTTTTCTTCTTCTCCTTCACCTCCTTCTTCTTCTTCTTTTTCTTCTCCTTCTTCTTATTGTCCTTCTCCTACTTCTGCAATTTTTTCCCGTTTTTATTTTTTCTTCTTCTTCTTTTACTTATCCCTTCTCTCATTCCCCTGTTTTCACCATTTTTTCCTCCCTCCTTTTCCATTCCTTACTCCTTGCGTCCCACTCCTTTCCTAACGCTGCCCTATGCATTTCCCATTACCCATTAAGTCTGTTGAAGTCTAATTTCATACCCTTATTATCATTCTATTTTATTATTTCCATGATGATTCTATCGTTTTATTCTATTATTATCTTTATTATCATTTTCTTATTTTATTTCGTTATTTTATTATCGTTCTATTATTCCAGTTCATTATCATCCTATTATTTCAGTTCACTATCTTCATTATCATTCTATTATTAAATTTCATTATTTATATTATCATTCTATAACCTTATTTCATTATTCTTATTGTCATTCTATTATTTCATTTTTTTATCATTATTATTTTTAAGTGCTATTCCATGGCCTCCACTTATAAGAATCCACCCTAGCCAATTCTTTTTTGTCTCCCTTTCCTTCTCCCTCTTTCTCACACCCACTATCCATTGTCCCCTTCCCCCTTCCCCCTTACATCTTCCCCTTTAATCTCCTCCCCACACCCCCAGTCCCTCATTTCTCCATCCCTAGTCCCTCATTCTTTCCCCCTATCCCTGCTCCTAATTCCTCCTCCTCCCCCAGTCTCTTATTCCGTCCTCTCCCCAGTTCCTCCTTCCTCCCCCTCCCCTTCCCGTCATTCCTTCCCCCTCTCCTGCTCCTTATTCCTCCCCTTTCCCCCCGCTCCTCCCCCCACCATCCTCATTCCTCCCCAATCCCATTCCCCCCCACTCCCTCTTCCCCTCATTCCTTCCCCCTTCCCCACTCCCTCTTCTTCCTCCCCCAGTCCCCCAGTCCCTCAATCCGTCCCCCTCCCCTCTCTCTCACTCACCTTACGATGGCGCTGTTCCATGGCCCAGACGCTGATCATGAGGCGGCCCCCGATCTTGAGAATCCGGGCCAGCTCGCGAAGGGCCCGAACCCGGCGCTCGGTTGTGGCGAAGTGGTGGATGACCGCGATGCTGAGGGCGGCGTCGAAGCTCTCGTCGCGGAAGGGGAGGGCCAGGTTGTCGCTCACCATCACCTGCGGGAGCGAGCGGGGGTGAGTGACGGGTGTGAGAGAGGAGAGAGCGGGGGAAGGAGGGGGATAAGGGAGATAAGAAGAGAGGAGAAAGGTAGGGATGGGAGGAGAGAGGGGGAAGGGAGGGAGGGAAGGAGGTGGATAAGGTAGATAAGAAGGGAGGGAAGAAGAGAGGGGGAAGGGAGAAGGGAAGGAGGGAGGGGGGAAAGAGAGGGCAGGAGACAAGACATATACTTATATGAAATCAGAGACAAGAAAGAGAATACAAATTGAATATGAAGAAGAACAGCCTTTAACAGATATCATAACATGTGGAATAATTCAATGTAAATTAACACAATAATAGGAAAATATAGAAGACCTAACAGGCTTTACATGAATCCAAACCATGAAAAGTAGAGATTTTTGAAAACGATAATGATGACAATAGTAATGATTATGATAAAAACAACAATTGTAATTCAGATACTGATACATATAATAATACTAAAACTATTACTAAGACTACTAACATTGATAATACTAATACTACTAATGATAAAGGATGCTGGGTATTGCAATAACAAAAATCATCAATAATAATGTCAATGATAATTAAAATGATGAAAAACGATAATAAGTGTCTAAAAATATTAGCCGTGGCCACGTCCTTAAAACCCCCTGAGCTACACTATTTTTCAAATTATTTCGCTTTCCTTTCAACTGTTATTCGTTTTAATTTCCTTCTTTCCTTCCTTCCCTTCCCTCTTCTTCTGCTCTCCCTTCCATGTTCTTCCATTTACCTTCTTCTCCTTCGCTTCCCGTCACTCGTCTCTGAAGCCTCTCCTTTCCTGCTTTCCTTCCCCCTGTTCTTACTCCTCTCCCTCCCTCCCCTCTTCTTCTCCTCTTTGCTCTATTCCTCTCCTCCCCTTTCCCCGTTACTTCTCTCCTCTCCCCTTCCCCTCCTCTCTTTCTTCTTGTTCTCCCCCCTCCTCCCCCCTTCCTTCCCGCCTTTCCTTGCTCTTGTTCAATTTCCTCTCCTCCCCTCTCTCTCTCCCTTTCCTCCTTTCCTCCCTCCCCTCCTCTCCTCTCCTTGTTCTTTTCCCTCTCCCCCTCCCTTCCCTTCATTCACCCTTTGTTATTTTCCTCTCCCCTCTCCTTGTTCCTTTTCCTCTCCTCCCCCTTGTTCTTTTCCTCTCCCCCTCTCCTCCTCTCCTTGTTCTTTTTCCTCTCCTCCCCTCCTCTCCTTTTTCTTTTTCCTCTCCCCCTCCCTCCCCTCCTCTCCTCCCCCTTGTTCTTTTCCCTCTCCCCCCTCTCCTCCTCTCCTTGTTCTTTTTCCTCTCCTCCCCTCTACACCCTCCTCCCCTCCTTCCCCTTGTTCTTTTCCTCTCCCCCTCCTCCCCTCCTCTCCTTGTTCTTTTTCCTCTCCCCCTCTCCCCCTCCCCCACTTCGTCACACACACAATTAAAATTCACAGTAACATGTGTTCCGGGGTCCACCATTCTGAAAGGTTGCCACGTCTCCTTCAAGCGTTCTCCTTAATGTCCATGTTGAGACGGCGGGCGGTTGGCGGCGGCTATGTCCAATTATTTTCCAAGGTTTTACCACAGCCTGCCATTTTTCACTTCCACCGGCGGCGAGGTGGGGGGCCAAATTCGAGTGGGGGGGAGGGGAGAAATTTCCAGATTTGGCAACCTGATTTATCCGAGGTGTTTTGCCGCCATAACTCTCCCGCTCGACAGTTGCTGTTATGAAAATTATTATACGTGTCGGAACCGGCGACGTATAACTTTATATCGAACTATCGGAAGATTAGTAATGGCGAGGATGATATATATATATTAAAAAAAAAACATACAATTATCTCTTGCGTTTGCCAATTACAGAACTAATTGTTGTCGATAATTACGCGGTTTATCGTTTCCGTTATTAGAACTATAAACAGATGCTTTAAATTCAAATCATAGACGTCAACGAACGGAGCCTATGGACGGTGACGGTTATTTATTTTTGGCAACCGGCTTGGTGGAAATTTATACATTTACGAAATTACATACGAAATAATTTTGTGCTCGTGCTTGTGAACCGTATTTATTGGATTCATTATATCAGTGTGATATAATTATTACCCGTACAGCGCAACCCGTAGCATAACTAATTATCAAATAGCTATTATATCTCGCATAAATAGAATCATCCTATATTGAAGCCAGCCAGTGTTGTGCAGAATGCGAGAGGATCGCTGTTCCGCTTTTCGCTTCTTTAGCTGCAAATCATCCCTCTCTATAGCGAGTTTATTTCTCTCTTCCCTTACACACACACACACACATACATATACATATACATATATACTATATATATACATATACATATATATTTCTATATATATATATATATATATATACATATATATATATATATATATATATATATATATATATATATTATATAATATATATATATATATATAATATATATATAACCATATGTATATCCATATATATTACATATATAAATATACAAATATATATATATATATATATATATATATATATATATATATATGTGTGTGTGTGTGTGTGTGTGTGTGTGTGTGTGTGTGTGTGTGTGTGTGTGTGTGTTGTGTGTGTGTGTTTGTGTGTGTGTGTGTGTGTGTGTGTGTGTGTGTGTGTGTGCGAGTGCGTGTGCGTGCGTGTATGTATGTGTATATACACATATATACATACATATATTCACACACAACACACACACACACACATACACCTCTCCCTCAACCTACCCCACCCCCCCTCTCTCTCTCTCTCTCTCAAGAAGTGTGACGCTGAGTGTCCGTCCACTCGCTGACTCTCGCCTCCGTTGTTCCTCCCCGCTGCAGGGCGCTTTGGAGGGCAGTGTTATGCTTTCAGACACCCCACTCCCCTCCCTCCCCCCCTGGCCCGTGTTGGGGGGAAGGGAGGTCTGGGGGGAGGGAGGAGGAGGGAGATGAGAGGAGAGAGGAGAAGGAGGGGGGGAATGAGATGGAGACGGGGGAGGGAGGAGGAGGAGGAGGGGGGGGGGAGAATGAGATGGAGACGGGGCGGAGGAGGGGGGAGGAGGAGTAGGAGGAAGAGGAGGAGGAGGAGGCGGGGGGAGGAGGAGGAGGAGGAAGAAGATGAAGAAGAGGAAGAATGAGATGAGAGAGGGGGAGGAAAAGGAAGATAAAGCAGAAGGGTAGGAAGAGGAGTTAGAGGACCAGGAGGAAGAAGAAGAGGAGGAGGAGTAGGAAGAGGAAGAGGAGAGCTGGAGGAAGAACGGTAAAAAGAGAAAATGATGATGAGGATAAGAATAACGAGGAGAAAGAGAAAGAGAAGGTAAATAAGGAGCAGAGAAAGAGGAGGAAGAGATGGAAGAAGAGAAAAGCAGGAAAGAGGAGGTGGAGAAAGAAGAGAAAGGGAAGGAGGAAGAGAAAAAAGAGGAGGAGGTGGAGAAAGAAGAAGAGAAGGAGAAGCGAAGAGGAGGAAGAAGAGAAAGACAAGGAAGAAGAAGAGAAAGAGAGAGAAGATGAAGAGTAGGAGGAGAAAGAGGAAGAGGAGGAGAAAGAAGAGAGAGAAGAGGAAGAGGAGGAGGAGAAAAAAAGACAGAGAAGAGGAGGAGGAGGAGGAAAAAGAGAGAGAAGGTGAAGAGGAGGGGAAAGAAGCGAGAGAAGAGGAAGAGGAGAAAAAGAGAGAAGAGGAGGAGAAAGGAGCGAGAGAAGATGAAGAAGCGAAGGAGAAAAAAGAGAGGGAAAATGAAGAGGAAGAAGAGAGAGAAGAGGAAGAGGAGGAGGAGAGAAAAAGAGAGAAGATGAAGAGGAAGCGAAGGAGAAAGGAGAGAGAGAAGAGGAAGAGGAAGAAGAGAGAGAAGAGGAGGAGAAGCGAAGAGGAGGAATGTCTTAAGAGCCTCGTCATTTTTTCACCGGTAAGCTAGCTAGCCTTTTGCGTCGCTGATCGATCTGACATTTTTGCAGCCCTGACCGACCCATTTTTTTATTTTTTATTTTTTTTTTCTTTTTCCTTTTTTTTCTTTCTTCTTTTTTTTTCTTTTTTCTTTTTTTTCTTTTTTTCTTTCTCTTTTTTTTTTTTTTTTTTTTTTTTTCATTTTTTCTTTTTTTTTCCCTTTTTCTTTTTTTCTTTTTTTTCTTTACTTCCTTGGGTCTTTTTTTTTTGGAGGGGGGGGGGACCTTTCCTCACTCTCACTCGATCTCAACCAATCCCGAATCGACATCTTCCTTGAGGTGTTTTTTTTTCATTATTTTCTTTTATGTCCCTTTTTCGTGTCCATTTTTTTCGCATTCATATTCTTTTTTTTTCTTCCTTTATCTTCCAACTTGTTATCTTTCTTTCCTATGTGTTTGTAAACTCGTATTATTATTATTATTATTATTATTATTATTATTATTATTATTATTATTATTTCTTTTTTTTTCTTTTTTCTTCCTTTATCTTTCAACTTGTTATCTTTTCTTTTCTATAAACTCGTTACTTTAACCGATGTTCTCTCCCATCCGTTATCCCCCCCAGTCCCCTCACCCCATACCCACCCTCCTCCTATTCTCACCTCAATTTTCTGCCTCTTCCCCTTATCCCATCCTAGCCCCTTCTGTCCTCCACCCAACCCATCCTAACGCCTTCTATCCCCTTACCTCCCCCACCCCTCTACCATCTATCCTCCTATCTATCCATATATCCTTCCCTTTTATCTAGCCCCTTCCCCGTTATCCAATCCCTTTATGCTAACCTCCCCACTCACACCCCATCTCCCCCCACCCTCACCCCACCCTCACCTTCCTACTCTTCATCCCATCTCACCACCCCTACCCTCACCCACCCTCCCCTCCATCCCATTCTATCTCCCCTCTCCCTCCCTTCTCCCTTCTCCCTCTCCCCTCTCTACTCTCCCTCCAGCCCATTCTATCCTCACCTCTCCCCTCCTCACCCTCCCTTCTCTCCTCCATCCCTCCTCACCTCTCCCCTCCCTCCCTCCCCACCCCTCTCCCCGGTGTTGGA